AGGCTTCCTTGATGGGTACTTTTATAGCATGTTGATACTTCATTTGGTAGACGAGTTAAACTACAATCAAAGTGATGAAAACAGAGTGCTGAGAATGTGATAGCATATGATGTCAACAGTAGAAATTATAATCAGAGATCTTTTCATTTAGTGTGGGGGGGAGGAGGGGATTGAATCTTGAAGATCAAATTTTAAAAGAGGCTTTGAATGAAATTTTAGAAGAAAACAGAAGAAAAATATGATGACTTCCAATGTTGCTTTCAGATATGTAATGAATAATCTGGAAGATTTGCAGGAAGACCAAAATTTGAGTCCAGTATGAATTCAAGGAAGCTTGAAGAGTAGGGGAGATTTCCTATAAGCCGATAGGGAAGGGAAGAGTTAGACAGGTATGAGAAAGAGTTCACACATGATACTTCCAAGAGATAGTAAGGAGAGCCAAAGAGTGTACAGGTTGCTAATAAAATGTATTAGCATCCATTTTAAATTCTGTATGACCATACTTAATTTACTAGTAAAATGACTCATAAAATATAACCCAAAACCAAGAAACAAATGACTTGCATAAAGTATCCTTAGTTTGAGAAAGCTAATTCACTTTGAACCCTGGTAGTCTCTTATGTGTTAGTGCCATCAAACTCTTCTAGAAGTATATCCATTGCTTTACATTATTTTATTCAGGTTCCAAGCTCATTTTTATGATCGATATTTCTTTAGAAGAAGCAACTACCATAAGCCACTAAACTGAGGAGAAAAAAAGCAGAAGTAGCCAAACTTCTTTGGAAACAATGGATATATATTTACAATTTTTATTGATTCTTTTGTTTTTGAAATCATAATATAATTATATTATTTCTCCCTCTCCTTTCCTTCCAACACACTCTCCCAGATATCCCTCCTTGCTCTCTCTGAAACTCATGGCAGCCTTCTTTTTATTAATTGTTGTTTCATGCATATATGCGTATGTATATACACATTTAGTCCTACATATGTAAATCCAAACTGCTCAGTCTGCATAATGTTATTTGTATGTATTTTGCAAGTCAGTGTTGATTTTTGAAAGTATATTTCAATGAGTACTCATATTTTGTTTCCAACTCCCTTTGTCCATGCTGTCTCCCTCCTTTCATTCCCTCTTTTCTTTCCGTTCTTATTGTTATTTTGGAAAAGATTCTTGTCATGTAGTCTGCTCTTTCCATGAACTCACAATCTTCCTGATTCCTCCTCTGAATTGCTAATATTGCAGAATTATATACCATGCCAACTCTTGTGATTATTTCAACTGTATATTCTGTATATAATATAAAAATGATGGCACTGCTATCAAAAACATTTTATTTCTTTAATGCTTACTTTATTTCCTTTCCTTTCTTCTGATTTCTTGTCTACATACAAACAACACCATGAAATTTTCATATGGCAGAGTACTTTGATTGAGAGAGTAAACATAGACGTGGCATAAATAATTTAATAAATCCAGTGTAGTACAGACTAATAATTTTAATATTTCCACTATCCACTATCTGGCGATTATTTACTAGGAAAGCAGAATCAAAGTTCTTAAATGATGAAAGCCTCTGCCTAAGAAGTACTGAGTGACAGAGATCTAGCAAGAAAAAGTTGCTTATAATGAATATTAAATATCATTCATGACTGCAGCAATTCACATTTGAAAGCAGCAGATGCACCATTTTGTACCAATGACTCCTTTATCAGAGGTATCTGATGTTTTAATAATTAAAATGAAATTCCTGTTTCTGTGAAGGTTACAAAGAAAGGTTGGTGCACTTACTTTATAAGAATGTCAGAAACTATAGTCTCAAATTCATGTAGGAGGGGGAATTCTAAAAGAGAAGGTTGTTGAGGACCAAACCTGTTAACGTCACATGGTGCAGTGTTTTTCATCAGGACTTTGAAAAAGTACCTGTTCTTTTAAGAATTTAGACAAGACAAAGGACACCAAGAATGTGAAGCATGTCTTCAAGTATCCAAAGTCACCTCGTTTCTAAGGAGGACTGAGTGGTTTTTTCAGCCATGTATAGAATTTATACAAGTGGGTGGAGAGTGCAAGTATAGAGATCACCTTACTTCACAGGAAGAATCTCTCTTCTTCAAATACAGTTGTGCCCCAAGGACATCAGAAGCTTCTAATTACAGCTTCTTCCCCATGAATTCTGGTGGAGTTTTTGCAAGGGTTATTAATAGCATGTGAGTTAAGGAGTCTTTTTATATGTAAGTTTCTAGGGGTTTACTAGACTTTTAAACTGTGGTTGTTATTTTGATGATTAAATATTACGATAGTTCTGAGGATCACAAATTGGATATATGGTTATACATCCTTGGAAGTTCTGCAATGCCTTAATCCTAGTATGTGCAATATTTTTTAAGATAAAAATTAAAAATTTGGGGCTTTGCTGCCACTCTTCGGTGACTCTGAAATGTGGTGAATTTAAGTGAGTGTGAACTATATTGCATGACACAACCCAGGTTTCATTTCCTCCAACTTTAGAGGCATATAAATTTAACTTCCTGTTTCTTTTTTTTTTTTATTCTTTTGACTTTGTCCATAAAATCAGGTTCTTTCCCTCAAGCAAATGTGAGGAAATCTGATTGTTTCCTGCTTAGCTCTGGGACATGTTCTTTTAAGTTCATGTGGAGAGAAACGTTCAGGTAGATCCTGACACACTGGTGTTTGTCACCTCATGTCTATTGCATATGCATTTTGATCAGTTGTCCATTTTCTTCTTGCTGTAGAATTGGCTTTTTTTTTTTCAAATAATTGATTGCTACTTCAGAGAAAATCCTTGTTTATTTTTTTGTTTTTGTTTGTATATTTCCCAGTCACGTCATTCTCTTTTCTCTCAATGATTTGTCCTAGATAGAAACTTAAAAAATGACTGTGACATACAGAGCCTTCTGACTGTTGCTTACTCTCTGGTATTCAAAACTATTGAGCTGGCTGTGCTAACTCCTGAACAGTTCAAAAGCTTTTCCACACAAGAGACCTCTGCCATAGCCCCAAGTTCTTTTTGCTTCCAATTTGTATGACTTTTGTCATAGTTTGATGTGATTTCTTTTTTTTTTAAGTTCAGATCTTAACCAAAAAAAAAATCTTAGTTTGAGTATTACCCCCATGAGTGTCTTCCTTAAGGATTCAAATACACCCTCTATAGCTCACCACATACATGTTTTCTGAGGACTGGCCATATATCTATATCACATTCTTTTCTTCTTTATGTGTTACGTCTCAGTGGCCCTAGCAAGGTGAGTGGTTCATTTGCACTCCCTTGTAATCTACTTTGTCCATGACACTCTTCTGTACCTTAAAGAGAAGCTGACACTTGATGAGAACTCCATACTTACATGTGAAATGAATGAAATCAAACAAGCTCACATCCCATCATTCCAAATGAGCCAGGATGTTAACTTGGCACGGAATAAAATCTTTCACCATCACTATAACAGAAGCTTTTCGTATAGCATATTATATAACACACTTCACAAGTGTCTTGACACAGAATGGCTGTAAAGATGGTCAGAGACATGTATTTGCAAATAATTCCATAAAATATACACAGTTAGTTTTATTATCACTGGGAGTATAGAGGAGAGGGACTTGAGAAATTTGAAACATGCTTTTTGACACATTCCATTTATATAGCTGATCAGAATGGTGTTTGAACTGTATTTATGTATATATATATATATATGTGTATATTTATATATACAATGCTATATTATGTTGTTTAATTGTAAATCATTATTTCATATCAGTTTTATAGGCATTAAATTTAGAGCTTTCTATCAGGTGGAATTTCTGATTTTTTAATCATTACTTTTTTTCTGTAAAGGTTTTATTTCATGTGATGGAGTGATACGATTTTAGTTTTTATTTACAAATAACACAATGATTACCACAAAGTGCTTTTTCTTCATTGATTAATTTTTTCTTCACTGCTTAATGTCAGCCATATAGAATAACAATATGTCTTTAAACATTCAGCTGTAATAGTTAAAATTGTATGTATCAAGAATGATGTATGTATTGAGAATGGTGTTTTCCTTTGTAAATCTGTTGCTTTCTGTTGAGAAGTAGATTTCATTATCTTTCTTATTGAATAAACTCTTATTGAGTAAACTATAGTTAGAGTAGAGAATTGTATATCTCGCTTATCACACCATAAAGAAGTCATGTACTTAGGTAGCTCTATTTTTTCATAGCATATAATATATGATTGTTGTGTCAATTTTTTTAAATTATCATATGTGTATAATTTTATTTTATCATTATTGTCTTGGTCTTCCATATTTATTCATTTATGTAATATGCAACATTTGTCAGTAAAAATCACTGTGTATATAAGTGGCAAAAATATATGTATATCTTTTCACAATAATGTCCATCATAGCTCTTAATAAGTATCTTTCAAAAATGTTAGCAAAATGACCAGAAAACATATAAATAAATACAAAACAATCATTTAACTCTGCACCAGAACAAAACAAAATAAAAAGAATAAATAACAAGATCCCTTTATATTGTCAAGCTTTTTTATGTAAAAACTGAGTTTGGTAGCCAATACTTCATACTGGATAAATTAGTGCCAATACTTTGTATCCTAAAGCTATGAGATTATTAAATACATAGTGCCCATAGTTTGTTTCTTAAAACTATGAGACTATTAAATATAGAGAACTATTACATTTTATAGGTAACTAGCTTATTCAGTTTCTGTAATTATGTCTAATTTTCTGATCATATTAGGAATGGGGATAAGAAGTTTTTCCTAATAAGGATAGTGTTTATAATCTAGAGGCTAGAAAATTCTTTGCTCAGTCCCAGGATTGTTTGAGTAGGACTTGGGGTGGCTGGTCCTAAGCCATATAGAATAACAATATGTCTGCAATACAGGGCTGCCTTGGGGATGGCCTCTACTGGGCTCCTCTGAGGCCTGAGTAAGCAGGGGTCTGTCTGATGGTGCGCCCTGCGGTCCCCGCAGGTGGCAAGCACAATGAGAGACATCCAGCCCTTGCTGCTCCACTGCGACATGCTGAGCGCAGCCCAGGAGGCGCTCTACCTCCCAGACATCTTCTTCAGCAGCCAGCTGCAGAGCGCGCCACTGCTCATCGAGGACAAGGCTCACGTGGAGCTGCCAGAGGAGTTCGTGGACCCGGTGCCCCAGGAGCACAGATTGCAGCCCAAGGTGCGGCCAGCGGGGGAATGGGGCTGGGGTGGCAGGGCAGGAGCTGATGGGAGACTCAGTCCCAAGCAGCTCTCCTCATGTTGCATTCCACATTTTCTGGTGGCCTATGTTTCTGCGTTAACAGAGCATGCCCAGTCACATCCTTATTTTGAAATATTTTATTTAGAATTTATAGTTGTGATGGAAACCAGGGATTGTGACAAACACTTGCCATCCCAACACTTTGGAGGTGGAAATGGAAGGATCAGTGTTCAAGACAAGACTAAGCTATGTAGTAAATTTTCAGACCAGCCTGGACTACCTGAGACCCTATCTAAAAAGACAAAGAAAAGCCAAAACAAACAAAGAAAAAATAATATGATTGAGTTAGAAATACTATTTTGCATTATTGAAGGACACTTGAAGTGACCTTTTTAGTAAAGCATTTAACTAACTGTTAAATTCCTAATACTATGAAGGATAAGCTTTAACATTTCTGATCATCTGGTTTGGGAAAGAAGTCTCATCAATAGAAACTAACAAGGTTTTGAAAAGATTATGATTAAAGCATCTTGGTAAGGAATTATGCATAGTCATTTAAAGCATAAAACCTCATGAAAAACTAGTAATCTCATGAAAATGTTGGAATGTACTGTGATCTTGCTTCCCAGCTGGTAACTCTAATGTGCAACTCTATTGAGTCCAGCTATTGAAACACCACTGAAGAACACTATAGAATATTTCAACAAAATTCAGTACTATTTCCCCCAATACTATATACTATCAATTTTCTTTTTCTTTCCTCACAAAACTCCATCGGGTAGTCTTATCCCTGTAATTTCCCTGGGGGAACATAACATTCACAACTTTGTATGCTTCAACATGGGAAATATTTGGCTGAAAACCATGAATTTCAAGTTACCCTGCCCACTCTGTAATTTTTTGGAGGGGTAAAATGTAAGAAATGCAGGGGGGAGGTGAACATCACTGTATTGGTTGTGCTTATTGTTTTAAGTCCCATTGTGGCAAAATAAAATAGAAGGCTTTATTTCAATACTAGGCTTGAAAGAGGTGCATCATGAATCCATTTCAGGTTTAAGAGACTCGGAGACTTAAAGCCAGTTTTTCAGTTCTGTTGAGCACATGAGAAGAGGGAAGGGTATAGGGAACATGGTGCTCACCGTGCCTTTGTGGCCTTAGTCATCCTGTTCCATCAATGCTCTTCAATCTGTTCATTCAAATGATCATTTCTTCTTTGATGAAGATGATGATGATGAGTGGGGGCTATGGTGACGGTGGTGTCCACAGCAAGAGACCATGGAGATGTGTCTCTCGTGTGTTGCAAAGATTCAAGGGTAGTGTAGAGTACCCATTTTTCCTGTTTTGCTATGTCTCTTTCAGATATGACATGCTCCAAAGAAGGCACATTTTCATATATTCACACAATGTGTTTCAGTGGTCATAGAAATTCCGAGGTGATTTTGACTTGAATTGTATTGTAGTATAATGTTTCAAATAAATATCTTTTAAGTTACTCCAGTGAAGCAGTATTCATGGGAATTTATAGAAAACATGAAGGAGAAATCCAGAAATGGTGTTTAATTTATATTATTAAAACTTAGAAATGTTTAAAACAATACATACACACACACACACACACACACACACACACACACACACACACAGATACACACTGTTGTTTGCAATTTTGTCTTCTGATGAAAATTCAGAATATAGGATATTTTCCTAACTCTTAGAAGTTATTGATATTTAGATAGATTCCAATTTTTTTTTGTCTCATAACACTCTTCTGTATCACTAGCTTTTAAATCCTGCCACATATATGTCATAATGCAAGGTAGTGGTGAGTTTTAAATCACATATTTCTATAATAGTTAAAAAAAAAGCGTAATTATATTGGATTTTATTTTAAACAGAGATGAAAGTGGAAGTGCTCGGTTGTCTGGAAGCTCACAAACGGAGGGTAAAGGCTGTGTGATGCAAAGGAACTGAAAGAACCATAAAAATCTGTTATCACTGTGATACGCTTAAAAAGTTGCTGTCCCGTGAAAGTAATTTTTCAGCGAGACAGCGAGACTGAAGGTCATTTGAGATTGTTTCCCACAGAAAGAGTAAAGAGGAATAAGTAAATATTACAGGAGAATAATCCTTCCCCGTAGTGAAGAGAGGGCACACAGCTAGAGTGCTTAGATTGGTATTAAAAATGTAATTGAAGTAAGAGAATCATATTGTCTTGAAGTCTTTAAGTTGAAAAGACACAGCAGAATTCAAACAAGACAATGTCAGGGAATTCAAGTTCTTTCATGACCGCCTTATGTTTCTCAAAGGAAAAGAAACAGCTGTAAACATGTAGTTAGTCCTCAGAACACAGATTAAATAGTGAAGGACAGTATTAATGTGATCAACCTGTGGCTTAAAAGTAAACTTCATCTTGCCTTAAAACTATCCTAAGTTTTATTCTATAAATAATCAAAGAATAAGTAAAGACCCAACAAACCCAGCCATGGCAAGAGAACAAAGTCCTTTTCATCCTTTTCAAGTGGCGTTTTGACATGTCTATCCTCGAATTTATTTAACTTTTTAGAGATAATAGAAGTTAAGAGCTAATGAATGTTTGGATTCACAGAAACCAGAGATTCACTGCATAATAAGAAAATCTCTCTCTCTCTCACACACACACACACACACACACACACACACACAATCCCGGTTCTCTGAAGCGCTTTCAGTCACGGGAAAGCTTTAAGTCAATCCCAGCCCAAATCCAAATATCTAAATATTCCCTAGAGGATAGAGGAAGGCCAACAGGTTTTAAAATACTTTTATCAGTTCCTTGGTAATTTCAGATAATATACTCTGATAACGTTCACCCCCTCTACAACTCCCCTAACCCCTCCCATGTCTGCCCCCACTGTCCTTCCCCAATTCACAGTTAGCTCAGCATAGAGGTAAAGGAAGACACTACTATAAACACAAGGATTTAAGTTCAGTGTAGTTGGAGCATCCAGTGCAAATGATAGTTTCCTAACACCATTCTAGAAATAATCTAGAGAAAAATGAGCTAGGATCTGATCAGAAAAAGCATGATATTATATTGCAAGGAATTTGGCATTTTTCCGATGGCAGTGAGGGAAAAAAAAAAGTCGATATTAGAATGAATCAGGGAATGGCACATTAAGAAAAAGACAAAGGACAACAAGACAAAACAACAAAAAAACACTAGAGACTTCAAGACAAGATGGAGAGTTATATTGACTCACAGGAAATAGGAGTTAGCTGTGTTGGTGGCTCTGATTCCAGGAGGGAATGTCTGAGGAGAGAATGTTCATAGTAATGGGGAAGGGGATGAGCTCAGTGCAGAGCATCCAGGAAGCCCTAAGAGTTATCTCGGCATCCCTGGTACCCCAAACCTTGACAATCAGGCCCAATCAGTGAGATTTAAAGATTCATTGTGTATAGAAGTCAGAGAAAATACAAGGAAGAAGACCACTATGGTTGAACCCTTTAAGTAGGAATAGTTCTCCATTTTACTGAAATAAAGGAGTCAAGGATAGACGGTAACGTTAATAAGGCATGATGGAGTTGCTGGCCAAACAAAGTCAGTCTCATTAAAAAAGAGAAGAAAGGCAGGATTATTCTTTAATAGCACTGTCCCAGCCAGGAATGATAAGATAGCCTGAAACACAAGAACATCTGCTGGGATTTCACTCAGCCCTTCCTGTACTCCCCTGTAACACCTGGCAGGGATACAAGGGAGCCAAGATTAGGTTGAAATTTTGAGCTATTCTGCCTTCTCTTCAGTATATTTAGTCCCCCCCCCCTCGTGTGTGTGTGTGTGTGTGTGTGTGTGTGTGTGTGTGTGTGTGTGTGTACAGAGTTCAAAGTCAAAATCTGGAGAGAACAGGAGACGCTTCTACTCCTATTTGCTCTCATTTAGCATGTAACATAGCACTCACTTCAGTAGAGTAATAACCAAAAGTAATCTCCACATGTCTTTTGAGAATTCCTCAGAAATGAACCTTGATTAATCTCTTGCCTAATTAAAACTGATTATTAAAATAGCTTATCCCTTGACTACAGTGTAAATTGGTGCTTTATCTTAAAGAAATGGTTAATGTTCTTGTTGGTTAAGAGTTTTGAAAAGAAAACCTCTGCTCACAAAGGCAATGCCTTCAGAGCTGTTAGTCCATGACTATGCTTGCAAAGCTCACATAATTTTGCATGTGAGATGCTAAGATAATTGAAGCTCTCATGGTAAGGACAGAAGTTCATTTGCTGGGTTGCATGTAACACCATGATTTGGGAATCAAGCCAGTTCCTTTGTATATCACAAAGTCACTAAATTTGATAGGGCAAGTCACAGATACTGTGAAACCTACAAAAGCCAGAATGCTAATGAGAAAAGGCTTATAGTCAGACAGCACTATTTTTCTTATCTTAGATCACATCCCAACAGCTACATTCCTCAGTCACGTGTATGCCTAGCTTTGATGGCTTAGGGGTATTCTTGAAGATGAAATGGCATCTGTGCAGGCAGAATGACATTCATCTTAATTAGCCAAGCACAAAGAAAGAAGAATTTCATTACTTTTTTATACCAGCCATAACCTCTTATACCATACCTTTGGCAGACATCACCTCTCTTTGGTTGGAAGGTCCTGCATTATGAGTTCCTTTTAGTTCAGCAGCTAAACTTGATAGGCAATGGAATTAACATACTTTCCTCTGTTTGTAATTATCCTTACTGATACTCATTTTTTAGGGAGGGCCCCAGAGAGGATCTTGCCATATACCTCGTCATTATGCAACTTTGGTTGATCTCAAACTCAAGCTAGCAGTCCCTCTGCCTTAATCTCTTGAGTGCTAAGATTGCAGACGTGTGCCACCATTTCTGACTAAAGCCAAGGAATGTTATTGTTTTGTTTCACCTGTATCATGACCCATGATTAGTCTGTGCTTCACCAGTGAGACATGTCATCAGCCTGACCACTATTCTTGAC